TTCGAACCTGACCGAGCTCCGAGTTCGAGCCTGACCGAGCTCCGAGTCCGAATCTGACCAGGCTCCAAGTCCGAGCCTGACCGAGCTCCAGTCTGACCAAGCTCCGAGTCGGAGAGGCTCGGGCTTTGTACATATCTAGTCTCCATCATTTTGCTTTAAAAAAAATTCTATTTCGTCGCGTAAAAAGCACAGATTTTACGCGCTCAAACGCCATATTTTTCGTTCCTTGTCTGCCTGGGAACTGTCGGTATTCGAATAAGAGTGCTATTATACTGAAATCCACCTCTAAGGTTATAATATTATAGAAACGAAGGAACTACACAAACTCTAAGGTATTTCATGATATATAGAATTTATTTTAGTACAAGATTTACTAAATATTTATCAGTCACATCACTATTTTAGCGCACTCTCGTGGAAAAATGTTAACGTAAACACCGAAGTTATATGAAATTTGTACTAGAATGTAGGCAGATTTATTGGAAAATTCCTAAAATATAAGTTTCAATAGGCTGTGAATGTATGTGAAAGTATGGGTAAACGTGAAGCTGGGTTCTATGGCCTGTTTCTTATATATTAATAACTAAAAGAAAAAACAGAATACATAGTTTTTAAAAGAAATTTCAAGAGTATCAAGCATAAAGATATCTAGATTGGCATAGTAGTGCAGCGAAACATCATTAAAATATTGCTCAATCAAATAATTTCATCTGAGAATTTGTTCTTTTTAGAAATATAAAATTGCACACATAGTACTATAGTATATGAAACTGTAATAATATTCTCACTTTAGATAGTATTAGTTGAAAAGAAACTTCATGAAAAGATGGTATCACATGTATATATGTGACTATTCTAGAATGAGTAAATCAAAGAAGTACATTAGGATTCGTATAGCTGTATTGAGTAACAAACTGGTTATATGGATAATTAATCTAATACTTACTTTTCAGCTCTTTGTATCGTCTAATAATTATAGTGTATTACCAATTTGTCATCACCAAACTTTCTGATGGCAATAAGAAACGGACAGGTGGAATCGATTGAAAATTTTACGAACAATAACATATGAGTGTCATTCATCATATAATCGAGTTCTTGGCACTAACTGTACTTAATGGAGCAAAATAGATAATGAGGAATTGTTTTAAAGAAGTCGAAAATTTTATAAATTGTTTAAATTAAAGAGCAGTGAATTTTCATATTTTACTAAGATCAGTTTCTGTTCGGAAGAGATAAAGTATGTGAAGTGAGGGCCTTTGTGTGCCAATCTAATGGATGGCTTGGGTATGATGTGACGCTTTCATATCATGAGATTACATTGGTATGAGGTGGCAGTTTCGTATCAGGTGATTACTTTCTTATGATGTGGCAGTTTTTTTGTAAAAGATTACTGAATATTCCGAGTACTATATAAAAGACGAGGAGTATTCAGCGAGACAGGCGATTTCTTGTGAAGAATAAAAGTATAGATATATACCAAATCTTATACAGCTCTATATTGGGTCTGAAATCGTCACACTTTGTACAAAAAACTATGTTAGAAAATACCTATACGAGACATAAAATAAATGACAAAAATCTCAATTTTAACTGCAATGATTAAATAAAAATGAAGAGATTTTTTCTAACAAATGACAATAAACATGAATTTTCTTATATAAACGAAGCTGCTATTTAATTTTTAATCTAGATTATGAATAGAAGAAAATGAAAACTGTTTAATCTACTTATAAGAAACAGTGTTTGAAATAGAGATTAGCATCTTTGTGTTGATTTTTTTAGGCCAAATTATTCAATTAGGTGGAACAACACCATGTACGTTCTTGAATAGAAAGTAGTTTTATTATTGAAAAGTTCTCACCTTTAGATGTTGATAATTTCCAAGCCGCATTTAATAACCAAATTGGAGTTGATGTTCCACCAATTGATAATGAAAGACGTGGTGTCCCACCAACTGATGAAGATGGACTTAGTATTTTAACAACCAATGAAGGTAAATTATAGCGGTTTTGTTGCGGACTTTAATAAAAATGTAGATAACCATTTCTACTAGTTGTTTGTATTATATAAAAAAACATCTCAAGGGTGTGGGTGACGTTATGGATGTGGGTTATGACAAGACACACCCATCCACACCCACACTTTCAAGACGGGCATCTCCTAGAATAGCATACGAAGATCCAAGGGTATCCTCGTACTATAGCATATGAGGATCCAAGAGTATCCTTGCATGGTAGTAGAAGAATATATATGTTTCGGCGTTCATTGAAATGAGTTGATCACAGAGTTCATGTTATTTGAACTGATCGATAAGTTGAGTTTGTTTAAATGAGCTGTTTGTACAGCTCGGCTGGTATAAAATGAACTAGTCGAAAAGCTGAGTACGTTGAAAAGCACTTGTCGGACAGTTCAGTTCGGCAAGCTGAGTCTTCTGAAAAGGTGAGGCGTTCTCAACTAGAACTGAACTTTGTCGACTTCTAGTTATTAGGTGTCGTTAAAGGTTGATAATGGTTGAACGAATGATCGAAAATTTCCAAAAAATTAGACTAAAACAAAAAACTGCATAAGACTATTTCTCATTAAGTTAATTCAAATCTCAAGATTATTGATAGTTTCGTACATTATTATATTAAAGTGCAATTAAACAATTACAGTATTTATATCTTCAAACTGGTGGTGGAATGAATCAAAAGTGAGCACAGGACAGAACATGCCATACGTCCTGCTGTCCTATAGGCCAGGGTTTCAAGTTTTGTTCTATCTTGTCTGCACTGCAGGACAGATGAGTCGGAGCGGCAGGCAGGATAGGATGAAAAGTTCGTCATGTGTCCACTTCTGCAGCCGATTCTAGTATTTCCACTGAAAATACTAAAACCGGCTGCTAACTTCACTTACGTTTTGTTTCGACATGATTATCCGACCCATGGATGACGTGCGGATATACTAGCCAGCAAGCAAAAAATCTGTATCTGATACACTCTTCTCCACACGAAAGAGAATAAGGATGAAGATTTGCGTTACCTGACTCTTTATTTAAAGTAAAACAAGAAGTATATTTATTCTTTTTGAAAAAAGATCTTGGGTAGTTTCGTCGTCATTGCTTTTTGGAAGATAAAACAAAAATATACCGATATTTATTCTTTTTTGAATAAAGATAAAAGATCTTTGGTAGTTTCGTCTTCATTGG